GCCCAACCCCGCGGAGACGGGGGCGGAGGTGGGGATGGGGGTGGGGCCAACAGCACCTTCTCCTCCTCCGCCTCCTCCTCCTCCTCCTCCTCCTCCTCTCTCCGCCTCCTCCTCCCTCCTCCTCCCTCCTCCTCCTCCTGCTCCTCCCTCCTCCTCCCTCCTCCCTCCGCCTCCTCCTCCTCCTCCAGGAAAAAGATACAGACACAATGAATCGTCGGCTCCGGGGAAAATATGAGAAAACATGGGACCTGGGATTTGTGTTTATTGCGAAGGCCTTAATTACGGCCGGTGCCGCCGACCCTGAAGACGACGAAGATGAAATCGAGAGGGGGGGGGGAGGAGGAAGAGGAGGAGTGGGAGGAGGAGGAAGAGTGGAGGAGGCGGATGAAGAGAGGAGGAGGAGGGAGGAGGAGGGGAGGAGGAGGAGGAGGAGAGGGGGGGGATGGGGCTCGGGATCGCGCGAGGGGGAGGCGTATGTGGGCGGCCTCCGTCGGAGACCCTCCCCCGGGCCCTCCCCGGACCCCTCTCCTCGCGGAGGAGGAGAAGGAGGAGGAGGAGGAGGAGGAGGAGGAGGAGGAGGGAGTCGTTTCGGGACCTTTTAGGGGCCTATTGGGGCCTCGTGGGAACGTCTTGGGTCTTGGGGGTCTCCTTGGGCCTCTTGGGGGCGTAAGGGGCCTCCTGAAAGCTTATTTGGGGCGCCAGGCTCGAATTTTCGTTTGGGGCTCCCCGTCTTGAGCCCTTCTGAAGGCCCTCTTAAGCAGTCTTGGGAATCTCTTGGGCCGTCTGGTCGCCCTCTTGGGCCGTCTTGGGCGACCGTCTTGGGGCTGTCTTTGGGGCGTCTTGGACCGAAGTGACCGCGGTGAAGGCCGAAAAGTCGTACATGCTGAAAGTGTACGTTTTCGTATGGGAAATCGATGGATGTGGCATGTTGGGGCTTCTTGGGGGTGCTCTTGGAGGCTCCCTGGGACGTCTGGGAGGCTTCTTGGGTGGCGTATTGAGGCGATCTTGGAGCGAGTCGGGGCTCTCTTAGCCGTATTGTGTGCCGTATGTGGCATTCTGGGCTCATTCTGGGACTGTGGGAGGTGTCCGGGCCGCCCGGGAGGAAAACGAATCTGTGTGGCGACCTCCTCGGGACCCTCCCCCTACCCCGCCCAGGACCCCCCCCCCCTTTCGGGGAAGGGATCAAAGGGAAGGGGCTTCCCTTCGAGACAACAACGGCGTTAGAGGAGGGCCCAGGGAAAGAGAGGAGGGACGGCGGAAACGGCGACGAGACGACGGTGACGACGACGGAGACGACGAGGAGACGACGACGGCGACTCGAACGAGGAAGCCCCTCGCACACGCCGACAGGGTCGGCGGATATGTTTGTGTGTCACCGTAGCCATTTTGGCTCAAGCCCGCGGTCGAGCGACCGCGGGCAGCCGCCCTCGCATAGGCCTTCTTGCTCCCGGGCGGTCGGTCTCTCCCCTCGCGCCGTGCGATAGGCGCCGGGCTGCTGGGCGGCGAGCTGGGGACCGTGCTGCAGGCGCCGCGGCGGCGCTTGTGCGCGCGAGAGGCGCACCGCGCCTGCGGGGCGTGCCGCGGACCGTGGCACCCACGGGACGTTGCGGCCTCCGTCGACGATGGCCGAGGCCTCCCCCGCAGCCCCGGAGGGTTCCTGGCAGCGGATCTGGGTCCCCAAGGGCATGGCAGTCTGGCTTGGGCCCATCCCAGGTGCCGCGGGCTGCCCTGTCGCACCTATCCCGGCGACAGGCGCAGGGAGTGGACGTGACGGCTCCGACGGCGACGGCGAGGGAGCCGGCGCACCCGCCACGCGCGGCAGCGCCGAGGGAGCGGAGGCGACGCGAGGCTGCGGCGCCGCCGTGCAGCATCCGCCGACGCTCCCCACATCGCTCGCTGGTGGCAGCCTGCCGCCTCTGCCATCGGTGCCAGACTTCCCGAAGCTCGATGGCGATGCCACTGGCGACGTGAAGGTTGGCGTGCGCTTCAACCCAGAGGTGGAGTGCAAGCAGTGCTCAGCGGCGGCGCCGGCGGAGGCGCCTGCAGCTGCGACCGCACGTGGTGCTCCTGCGCGCGAGGGCGCCGGGAGCAGTCAGGAAGTTCTTCAGCATGATGGTGCCGAGAACCTGGCCGAATGCGATGAGCTCACCTTCGGCGCCGCCTCGGACCTATTGGCCCAACTCGATGCCGATGGTGCCGCCCATCTTCCACTTTTTCTCCGGGATTCGCGCGAGGTGACCATGGAGTCCAGCTACGACCCGCTGGTCCTCACGGCCGAGCCGAGCACGCAGTTCCGGAGCCTCTTGCGGCATGCCGTGGGTGTGTCGCGCCAGGCTGGTCTCGCTGTCGAGCCCAAGAGTCTGGTGATGTGCATGCTGAGGGAAGGCGTCATTGAAGTGGCCTCTGCCGCGAAAAAGGCAACTTTCCAGAGCATTTTGGAGCAGGCAGCGCCCGCGTCCTTCGTCTTCATCTCGGTCCAGACGACCAGTGATGCCTGAGTTTTCAGCCTGCCTGGTCATGCCAATAAATTAATGGCCCGAGTTTGTCGTAACGGCCCGCGGCCGTTCGGAGCGCAGGATTGCCCACTGGCCGCCCTGCTGCCCATGCTCGCCGTGCCATGGCAGCGACGCGTCCACTGACCAGCGCTGCTCCTGGCCTCCCATTGCTTTTACTAGTTGCCCAGCTGTGTGGCCGGATTCGGCTCGGATTGCTGGTGCCGGGTCGCCCTGGCGGCCGTCGTCGTCGCGGCTGGATTCGGCTTGTCTCGCTGGCGTCGGGTCGTCCCCCGTTGGCCCTCGTCGCCACGGACGGTGTAGCGCACTGCACGCGCCCGATGGCTTCCCACAAACGTGGATCGCCGTCAATGATAAAAACGGGGTCGCCCCCGTTTTTGGCACGCACGCCTTTTTCGAAACTTGTCTTGAGACGCTTCGCGCAACCCTTGCTAAATAAATAAATGTGTCCCTGGGCGCCTTCATGTACGGCGTGCGTGATCGAGCACAGCCCGAACGGGAAGGCACTGCGAACTCGCAGCCTTGGCCCTGACAGCCAGCGACCGCTGGGGCGACCGTCGGGGCAGGTCGCGCGCTTCCCATCCTGGCCTCGCACGGCGGTCTCGAGAGGAGGAGGAGGAGGAGGAGGAGGAGGAGGAGGAGCCCTCTGGAGCGAACACCTCACGTCGGTGCACGCCTCGAGGATTTCCGGCACCGCCTCGACGGGCGTGCACTCGTGGCCGCTTCTGCTGCTCTGGGCGATCCCCAGAGGTCCTCTGCGTCGGCCGCACGAGCTCGCGGGTCCCGCCTGCCGGCGCCTCTCGCTCTCCGTGCGGGCTGCCTCGCCCGCCGCTCCAGCCCCGCGGGCCCGGCTGCTGCCGCGCCGAGGGGCCGCGAGGGGCCGACTGTGCTCGCCCAGCGCGCGGGATGACGTCATGGAGAGTTCCCTTGGCCGCCGGCGACCGAGAAGTGTGCGTGTGTGTGTGTGTGGTGTATGCATACGTGTATGTATGTATGTAAGTATGTCTGTCTGTCTGTCTGCCTGCCTGTCAGTTTGTCTGTGTGTCTGTCTGTATGTATGTATGTATGGGTGCATGCATGCATGCATGCATGTATGCATGTAAATATGTATGCATGGATGCATGGATGCATTGATGTATGGATGTATGAATGAATGTACGAATGTATGAATGTATGTATGCATGTATGTATGTATGTATGCATGGATGGATGGTTGGATGGATGGATGGATGTATGGGTGTATGTATATGTGTGTGTGTTTGTTTGTTTGTTTGTATGTATGTATGCATGTATGTATGTATGTATGTATGTATGTATGTATGTATGTATTTATGCATGTATATGTATATATATATATATATATATATATATGTGTTGTGAATTGCCTTCGGCAATGCTCGATCGCAAGTGGCACTTCCAGCTGCCGTCCGCGCCTGAGGATCCTCTGCGCCGCCGGCTCAAATGTGTGTGTGTGTGTGTGTGTAAACGCGCGCGATTCACTGCCTGCACCCGACTTTCTACGCCCCGTCGCCGCGCACGAGGCCGCGACGCCAAAACGTGTGTGTGTGTGTGTCTCTGTGTGTGTGTGCGTGTGTGCGTGTGCGCGTGTGTGTGTGTGTGTGTGTGTGTGTGTGTGCTTGTTTGTGCTCCAGTCCCGGATGGCTTATTGCACGTCCACATCACCGAATCCAGGTCCTACCATTGCCCCCCCGTCATCCATGCCCCGATGGCTTATGGCGGCGGCTGCAGCGGGACCTTCTGTGGTCTCTGAGGGCTCGTGCGCTCCTAGACGCGCGCGCGACTTCTGTTCCAAGACACCTCTCCTCCCTGTCGCTTCGCGCAGGGCCGCGATGCCAAAAGTCTGTGTGTGTGCGTGTGTGCGTGTGTGTGTGTGTGCGTGTGCGTGTGCGTGTGTGCGTGTGTGCGTGTGTGCGTGTGTGCGTGTGTGCGTGTGTGCGTGTGTGCGTGTGTGCGTGTGTGCGTGTGCGCGTGTGCGTGTGTGCGTGTGTGCGTGTGCGTGTGCGTGTGTGTGTGTGTGTGTGTGTGTGTGTGTGTGTGTATGCGCGTGTGCGTGCGTGCGTGCGTGCGTGCGCGTGCGTGCGTGCGTGCGCGTGTGTGGCCGCAGCCCCTGGTCGGCTCAGCATGGGCCGCCGGGTCGCGGCCCGCCCTCCCTCCCCTCCCCTCCCCCTGCACATCTGGCGATGTGATCTTTTCCCGCGAGAGCCGGCAGCGACAATCGTCGGGAGCGAAAGAAGGACGTACATGTGCATGAAGCCACGCTGGTTTCGAGAGCACGCGTTGCACAAATGTTCGTATCACGCGGCCGGTCTCGCGAGTCGAGGGGCCGTGTTCATGTACACAACTGGGCGCGTACGTCCTTTGTGGGCTCCCTAAATCGGTGCGGTTACGCCAGGGTGCGGTTTGCGAGTTGCTCTGCGGCGGCCTTTCCGGGGCCCTTTTGTGAGAGACGGTGTCGCAACTGTCGTC